ATCTTCCAAGTTTTAATTTCTCTCCAAAATGTGCTGCCTTTTATTCACTCTTCAGAACTCTCAGGTAGTTAGTTGGTTTTTCCGTTTTTATCTGAGGGAGTTTCAGTCTGTTAGGCGCTTATGCCACTGTGCTAAGAGAGGAACTCTTCCATCTTTAGTTTCAAAGTCATATTTAAGAAGCAATGTTAGCTGAATAGATGCTTAAAATTTCTTGATGGTTGACATAAATAAAATATGTCCTGGCATACCGTTACATGTTTATTGGTGAAATGGTGGAAGAGCTTTCACTCATTATTGCCAGCCATGCTGTAGCTGGACTAATCTCCTCACAGGGTTTTTAGTGTTGGTCCTAAAGGCAAAAAAACGTTGTGAATTAGCTGGAGATGATTCTGTCATAAGCCTTTTTGATGTCCCTTATAGCACAGTCCCCTGTAAATCGCTGATTGTCAGCATTAATAACCAGCTAGCCCCTTCGAGACTGTTCACAATCTCTTGCTTTTTCATGGTCGCCAATCACTAATGGATTTACAGTGTTGTGGCAACAATTTCCCAGAGCAGACATCACTTTAATAGCGCTTTCTAGGTGGCAGAGGTCATTTACCTCAGAGACACTTCGAAAGTGTTCATTACTGCATTAAAAAAAAAAAGGATGGAAAGGCAAATTGACTGAAGGCTGTACAAATCACTGTGGTTAATGTGCGGTGGGATAGCCAAGGTCCTCAGGAGTTGTAATAGCATGTCAGAAGGTGACTAATGATAGATCATGTAGGATGTTGGACATATATCTAAATGCTGACTTGTCAGAAACATTATTTTTCATTGTTCCTATGTTTACTAACAAAGTTATCGCAATAATGTTTGACAAGTTTGAAAATGTTCTAAGATCCTTACATTGGTCTGTAATTCTGGTAATAACAGTTATGGGTAGGAGATGGTTAGAGAAGGCTATGCCCTTTAGATCTCAAGTCTTCTTGTTGTGTTGTTTCAAACAGGTATCTCATGTCATGTTTAAGTGTATTTTACAACGGTGTTTCTCAAAATGTGGCCTAATGATTTTAATGCACTAAAATCTCCTGTGGTGTTGCTAAAAATGCACATTCCTAACCTTACCTCAGCCCTGCAATATCAAGACCCCAAATAAGAAGGGTAGAAGGGATGGGACCTTTCTAGTTAAGTTTTATCAAGTTCTTCTAGGAGAGTCTCACCCACATGAAGGAAAATAATTACATTAGATTCTCAGAAAGATTTTCTTCTCTGTTGAGATCATATGAGAAAGAAAGAAACTGTCAAGCCATGAAAAGACACAGCCAATCTCAGAAGGCTACGTACTGCATGATTCCAATTATATGACATTCTGGAAAAGGCTAAACTATAGAGGCAGCAAAAAGATCAGTGGTTGCCAGGGGTTGGTGGAGGAAGGGATGAATAGGTGGAATACGGAAGATTTTTACACCAGTGAAAACATTTTATATGATACTATAGAGAGTATACTATATGGTGGATCTGTGTCATTGTACATTTGTCCAAACCCATAGAGTGTGCAACACCAAGAGTGAATCCTAATGTAAACTATGGACTTCAGATGATAATGACGCGTTCATGTAAGTTCATCAATTGTAAAAAATGTATCACTCTGGTGGGAGATGCTGATAGTTGGGAGTTTGTGTGTGTGATAGCAGGAGGTATATGGGAAATCTCTGACCTTCTGTTCAATTTTGCCATGAACCTAAAACTAGCCTAAAAAGTGTCTTTTTGAAAATCATGGTAAAATAATTTAGTAAGTTCTGAAGGTTTTTGCTTTTTATTTAATACGTTTACTATATGCCTTCAAAGTACAGAACATTATGCTATTTACTGAGGAAAAGATGACTAATAGGGAGGTTTCTGTTCTCGAAGTGATTCTGTTCTGCCAAGGGAAGACCAGAGTGCCCAGAATGGCTTGATTAAGAAAAAAAATAAAGTACTCAAGGTTCTAACTGCACTTACGACTTGGAATGAATATAAAACCTCCACCTCATATCTAAAGAGTTTCTCAAGAGACTAGATTCCCAAAACGTTAAGTTAATGAGTGACCACATTATAGATCCACCTCAGAGATAGCTATAAAAACTGAGACCAAAACAAGGAATTCTAAAAGATATTTTAAAACAAAATGTTAAGTGTCTTAGTTGGGTTCCTAGAAGCAGAGCTTGAGATAGGAATTCATGTGCAATTGATTTACTAAGTGCTTTCCTGAGACACTGTAAGACAGTGAGGGAAGGGGAAGAATCGAGTCAAATGTGTGGTTTCAGGAGCTGTCTAGGCTGGGCTTCAGCCTGCGTACAGGGATCCTAGAAGCATGTAACAGTGGAGCACTTCACAAAGAGGTTTTCCTTCCCAGAGGCAAGAGGGCTGGGCTAGTATACAGTGACTCAATGGCCATGGGCCACCACCATCCGCCTTCCAGGCTTTCTAATCATATCCTGTCAGCCAAGGGCAATGCCCCTCACCACCTCAAAGGGTGCGGCTGTGAGCCAGTAGCAGCCAGTACTCATAGTGGCTGGGGTTGGGTGCACCACCCATTAGGGGGATCAGGGAGGACACTGAAGGCATCTGTCACATAAAGAAAAGAACTGTCACATAAAGTTCAATGAAAAGGTTCTTCATCGCCTTTCTAGTTTTAACTGTTCTCATTCCTTTTTGTCAGCCATTTTCATAATTTTAGTCTCAGGAATTCTCTTCTAAGAATTATTGAGGCCTCAAAGAGCTTTATTTTATGTTGCTTGCATCTATTGATATTACCATAATTGAAATTAAAACTGAAAACACTGGAAAGATAGATTCATTTAAAAATAAGCATTGTTGCTGCGCGCTGGCGGCTCACGCCTGTAAACCCAGCACTTTGGGAGGCTGAGGCAGGTGGATTATGAGGTCAAGAGATCGACACCATCCTGGCCAACATGGTGAAACCTCGTCTCTACTAAATATATAAAAAATTAGCTGGGCGTGGTGGCGCACGCCTGTAGTGCCAGCTACTCGGGAGGCTGAGGCAGGAGAATTGCTTGAACCCAGGAGGCAGAGGTTGCAGTGGGCCAAGATCACGCCACTGCACTCCAGCCTGGCACCTGGCGATGGAACAAGACTTCAAAAAAAAAAAACCACTGTCTGAAATGAGTCATCCTCTATGCTGCACTGCTGACTCTTCTGTTAGGGCTCTGCAGTCAGGTTGTGTGGCTTCAAATCTTAGTTTCATCCCTTATTTGCCATCTTCCATTAGCCTCTTTGTGCTTGAGTATTCTCATCTTTATTTTATTGATTGATTGATTGATTGATTGATTTTGAGACAGAGTCTTGCTCCGTCACCAAGCTCCAGGCTGGAGTGCAGTGGCACGATCTTGGCTCACTGCAACCTCCGCCTCCCAGGTTCAAGCAATTCTCCTGCCTCAGCCTCCTGAGTAGCTGGGACTACAGGCATGCACCACCATGCCCAGCTAATTTTTGTATTTTTAGTAGAGACAGGGTTTCACCATGTTGGCCAGGATGGGTCTCGATCTCTTGACCTCGTGATCCACCCACCTTAGCCTCCCAAAGTGCTGGGACTATAGGCGTGAGCCACCACTCCTGGCCTTAGTATCCTCATCTTTATAATGCATTTCATAAAAGTTAATTATAAGATTGTTGAGAAGATAATACGACAATCCACAGCAAGTGTTTTGCACAGTGCCTGACACATAGTAAGCACTTCACACATTTTAGCAAATTCTAGCTAATATTTTCATTTCGTTACTATCCTCATTAAGACCTCAATTACCTTTTGGCTACAGATTTCCATGTTTCCTTCCTGGTTTCTCCAGTTTCTCACCATGTCTCCTTCCATCAAAACATACTAAACAGACTCAAACACATACTTTTTCAAATGATTCCGTACACACATACATATATACTAGAGATTTTCTTCTAAAAAGTTTTTTTTATCATATTATCTCTCTGCTCAAAGTCATTATGTCCATAATTTGAAAACAAAAGTCCCTATTTTAGCTTGCAATTCAAGGGATCTCACAGCTTGGCTCTTACTTGCCTTTCCAGTTTTGACTGTTGTCATTCCTTTGTATCTGTGATATAGCTGGCCTAGAATTAGAACCAGTACAATGCCATTTTAAAATGGGAAAACTGTTTCCATTCTCCTCACAATGACTGCTAGCCATGGCTTCTGTAAACTACTAAGATTACCTTGCAAAATGCAAAGAGAGGACAAGCTGCATACTTTCTCTTATCTGTAACTGCCAGAATTGCTGCCCTTTGTTTACCAAAGTAAGCACCCCCAGATAATTCCATCCTGGCGCCAAGTAACCTAAAATTATGTGGACCCTACACCTGTCCAAATAATGTATAAACTAATGTTTATCTTGACCTCTGTAAACCACTTAAATGGCAATCGGAATGACAAAAGTCCGCTGGCCCTTGGAATATCTGGAGCCCCCTCACCCTCGTCTCAGCCTAGGAGGTGATTGACAGCTTTCATTCCCATCTCCGCTCCTCACCCCCACTCCCAAGGTGGTTTTGTGGGTATAAAAAGGTCTTGTCTGCTTTCTCCCCTTCACCCACATTAAGCAAACAACACACTGCCATGTGTGTACCTATGCAACTGTATTGCATGCTCTGCACATGTACCCCAAAACCTAAAATGCAATAAAAAATTTAAAAAAAAATAAATAAATAAAAGGGTCTCGTCACTCTTCTTTCTCTGCCATGGGTTGGAGAGACGTGAGTCCTCCGTGGTTGCCAGCAATATACCCTGCAATTTGGCATACTTTTGTTCTGGTGTTGACTTTCTGTGCTAAGTTCAATGCAACATTTCCACTTTTCTCACAGTATTGCTCTCAGAACTTCTTTGTAAAAATTACTGAGACCCCCAAAGAGCTTTAAGTTGATTATATCTATTGATATTTACCATATTTGAAATTAAAACTGAGAAACATTGAAAGATTGATTAATTTAAAAATAAGCATATTACATATTATCATGAACACCATAGGTTTATTAAAAAATAAATGTTTCTAAATTGAACAAATTTCATGAAAAGAGCATCACTTTCACATTTGCAAATCTCTTTAACATCTGGTGTAATAAAAGACAACTGCATTCTCATATCTGCTTCTACACTCAATATGTTGCAAATATGTTGTTTTGGTTCAAGTATATGAAGAAAATCTGGCCTCTCACAGATATGTAGTTTTAAGAGGGGGAGAAGTAATTTAAATCTTTATGGTTAGCTATAGATATTTTTCTATGATTCAACACTAATATTCAAGAAATGGTAGTTTCTCAAAGGTTAGTTGTAATGAGGAATCTGTAACTGTATCGATGGTCTTTCCATGTTCTGTTACATTAAAATCCACTTGGCTATTTTGCATTCTGCAAGTATACTTGTGCATGATTTTGATCATATAGATTCCCTGATGGGTCTCAGGCATCCCAGGATTCCTCAGACTGCATTTCAAGAACCATTGCTCCATATGAACTCTCTGTACTTCTTGTTCTAAAATGTACCTGGGACTTTGTTTTTATTCAGGTATGGTGAGGTCAACAGGTCGATCAGAAGACAATTGCCATTGAAAAGATAATTTGTTATTCAGAGCTCCCAAGAAAGGGGGACCACTCCACTCCATGCAGAGTCACATGGGGAAACCACCAGGGACAGCTGGGCAGCAGAAGATGCAAGGAGGAGGCATGGGCAAAAGGCTTTATTGTGGATTTCAGGGGAAGGAATGCGCAAGGCAGGATAAGGAGCTGTGCAGGTTTAGGATTGGATAGCTTGAATAATTCTGGCAGGCTCTGGGCTACAGGGCTAGTCTCTAATTCAATACCTGGCCCTAGGGTGACTGAAGGCAGGGGACACTGCAGGAGTCTGATGGAAGGAGGAGCTGGGGGTGTGAACCTGAGATTGGTTGGTTTGCATATCAAAGGCATTCTCAAAGCCAAGCTGTTTGCTGTCCGTAGGAATTAGCTATCCCTGAAGGGCAGTCCCTTCCTGAATCCACAAAACCCCAATATGTCAAAGCCTCATAAAATACAGAAAATAAAAGACATGATTAATACACTCCTCAGGTTGGTTTAATTACTTTCGCATAATATACCAGATATATTTCTAACCCCTTCATTTTATTAACTCTGTTAATCCTCATATTTGTTTTACCTCTTTGAACTCTTCTCATTCATCAAAGACTGAGCTCAAAGCTCCTCTCTACTTTGAAGCCTTCCCTGACTAATAGTTTGAAATTTAACCAATCATAAAAGGTTTTACAATACCACTTGAATTATTGTTCTGTTATTTCACTTTCCATTGGTAGAAATGCTGTCTCTCCAACTATAGTGTCCATTTCTTGAGATCAGCAACCTCATTTTATACTGTTTGATGCTATTCTTATCTTCCAGAGTGTCTGTCTTTGCTCTCTATGTGTATAAACCTGCAGCATCCCTCTGGAAGGAGACTCTAGCTTTCTTGCTCTATCTTGTCTCATATTAGCTTGCCAGCCTGCTCCTTATCTCCTTGCTCTTGACTTGTTGACCAGTCTACTTTCTGTAGTCTCTCCCTCTAGACTAGACAGATGCCTACTTTTGCTTCTTCTTCTTCTTTTTTTTTTTTTTTTTTTTTTTTTTAAGACGGAGTTTCGCTCTCGTGACCCAGGCTGGAGTGCAATGGCACAATCTCGGCTCACCGCAACCTCCGCCTCCTGGGTTCAGGCAATTCTCCTGCCTCAGCCTCCTGAGTAGCTGGGATTACAGGCACGCGCCACCATGCCCAGCTAATTTTTTGTATTTTTAGTAGAGACGGGGTCTCACCATGTTGACCAAGATGGTCTCGATTTCTTGACCTTGTGATCCACCCGCCTCGGTCTCCCAAAGTGCTGGGATTACAGGCTTGGGCCACCGCACCCGGCCATACTTTTGCTTCTTTAGTGCTGCCCTTGCCTCTACTTCTCAGCAAGAGTCTGGACTTGTTCCTCAGATCACATTTGCTACTGGCTTCTGCCCAACTCCTGAGATCTTTCCTCAACTTATCCTTTGAATTGTGGGAAGGGTGAAACAGACACAAGGCTCTGAATATTGTAGACTTTGTATACACTGTAGACTTTGTATACATGTAAAATTATAGCTTCAAAGTCTTTTGAGTCATATTGTTTTAGTGATTTGAAATCATTTATGCTTGATTGTGTTGCTAAAAAAATCAGGCCAGGCACACACCTATAATCCCAGGACTTTGAGAGGCCAAGGCAGGAGGAGCACTCGAGCCTAGGAGTTCCAAGACTAGCCAGAGCAACATAGTGAGAATCTATCTCTACAAAAAAAAAAAAGTTTAAAAACTGATTTACCAGGCATGGTTGCACATGCCTGTAGTTCCAGATAGATACTCAGGAAGCTAAGGTGGGAGGACTGCTTGAGCCTGGGAGGTTGAGGCTGCAGCGAGCTGTGAGATCATACCATGACCCTCCAGTCCTGGTGATAGAGTTAGAGCCTGTCTCAAAAGAAAAAGAAAAAAAATTAAATGCTCTGAGCCTCTTCCGTGTTCCCCTCTCCTTGCATATCTTAAGAATATTAAGATAATTTGTACAAAATATCTAAACACTTCGTTTTCATTGTCTTGCATGTCATGCAAGTCTTTGCATAAAAAAGCTGAAAGCCATCTCAACGTTGTTTGATTTGGTTAAATGAGTGGTATTTGAAAGATTATTATGAAACATATTAACACCTCATGTCATCATAACTAAAAAGCGCCAACTACAGATTATGTTGGAGTACGTTAAAACTATCCTTTTCTTAACTCTGGTCCAGTATCACAGCCTGATTTGTACTATAGTTAGATTAGATGTAGTCAACAGGCTTTTTTAAAAAAGGCATTTGGGGACTAGCTAAAACAGAGACATATTTTTCATTCGTCTTGTTTGTTTTGTTCTGTTTTGTTTTTGAGACAGAGTCTTGCTCTGACCCCCAAGCTGGGCTACAGTGGCATGATCTCAGCTCAAAACTCCTGGGTTCAAGCAATTCTTATGCCTCAGCCACCCCAGTAGGTGGGACTACAGGCACTCACCACCACATCCAGCTAATTTTTATGTTTTTAGTAGAGATGAGTTTTCACCATGTTGGCCAGGGTGGTCTGGAACTCCTGGCCTCAAGTGATCCTCCCATCTTAGCCTCCCAGAGTGCTGGGATTACAGACATAAGCCATCGTGCTTGGCCCATTTTTCTTTTTTTAAGTCTCCAGATCCCTGTGTGAATACAAAAATCATGAATGTTTCATTTTCTAACTGAAGCCAGAACAGGGAATACATGTGTTGAGTGTGTGGTAAAGTCATTCGTTTGTTAAACTTAGAGTTTCATTTTACCATTTCTCTAACCAGGGATAGGCTTGGATTCTACTAGGCTGCTAATGAATTTGCAAAGCAATGGCTGTTCTCATTTTAAGTAAGTGGAATATAGAATCTTATGAATGAAGGTTAGTCCTAATGTAGTAATTCTGTAGTGTATTAAGACTCTCATACAGGATATTTAGATGAATACAGCAATGTTCTTAATTTCACATGACATCTGCTTTCAGCATCTAAGGTTTGGCTCTACCATAAACCATGGGGATGCTTTGTTGGAAAAACACTGCCATCTATTTTCTCCTGACAACTCATCATGTACATATCATCTATACTTTGATCTTAATATTCTTTGAAATTGGCTGGATACAGTGGCTCACACCTGTAATCCCAACACTTTCGGCGGCCAAGGCAGGAGGATTGCTTGAACCCAGGAGTTTCAGATGAGCCTGGACAACAAAGTGAGACATTATCTCTATGAAAAAATTTAAAAAATTGGCTGGGTGTGGTGGCACTGACCTGTAGTCCCAGCCACTTAAGAGGGTGAAGTGGGAGGATCACTTGAGTCTGCAGTGAACAGTGATCATGCCACCATACTCCAGCCTGGGGAATGGAGCAAGACCCTTTCTTCTCTCTCTCTCTCTCTCTCTCTCTCTCTCTCTCTCTCTGTGTGTGTGTGTGTGTGTGTGTGTGTGTGTGTGTATTCTTTGAAAATGTTCAACTCACAGCTAGGCATGGTGGCTCAGGCCTGCACTTTGGGAGACCAAGCTGGGTGGATCATCATTTGAGGTCAGAAGTTAAGAGACCAGCCTGGCCAACATGGTAAAACTCCATGTCTACTAAAAATTAGCTGGGCATGGTGGCACCCACCTTTAATCCTAGCTACTCAGGAGGCTGAGGCAGGAGAATCACTTGAACCTAGGGGGCGGAGGTTGCAGTGAGCCAGGATCCTGCCATTGCACTCCAGCCTGGGTGACAGAGTGAGACTCGTGTTTCAAAAAAAAAAAAAAAAAGAGAAGAAGAGAAAAGAAAATGCTCAACTTTGAGGATTCTACCATCTTAGGTTAAAAACAAGTATCTCACCGGGCATGGTGGCATGTGCCTATATTCCCAGCTACTCGGGAGGCTGAGGTTGGAGGATCGCTTAAGTCCAGGAGTTCTGGGCTGTAGTACGATATACCAATTGGGTGCCCGCACTAAGTTCTGCATCAATGTGGTGACCTCCCTGGAGCGGGGAACGACCAGGTTGCCTAAGGAGGGGCGAACTGGCCCAGGTTGTAAACAGAGCAAACAAAACAAAACAAAACAAAACCAAGTGTCTCAAATTTCTTATTCACTACATAACATTTATATTAATTGCCAAGTTATGCTCACTGTCTTAAATGTACCTCCTACAAACTAATTTTCCCCATTTGTAACACATTAAGATTTAATTAAAAGGCGTATTACCACTTTATTGATTTCACTCATAGTTTATGGTGCTTATATTTAAAATCAAGATTATAATGCTTGGCTGAGCACGGTGGCTCATGCCTGCACTGCAATCCCAGCACTTTGGGAGGCTGAGGTGAGGGGAATCACCTGAAGTCAGGAGTTTGAGGCTGGTCTTGAATATGGTGAAACTGAGTCTCTACTAAAAATATAAAAATTAGCCCAGTGTTGTGGCAGGCACCTGTAATCCCAGCTACTCGGGAGGTTGAGGCAGCAGAATTGCTTGAACCCAGGAAGTGGAGGTTGCAGTGAACTGAAATTGCTCCACTGAACTCCAACCTGGAAAACAGAGTGAGACTCTGTCTCAAAAAACAAACCAACAAAAAATTATAATGCTTAAATTTTACTAGATTTTTGTGACAAACAATTGAAATAATATGACAGTGTCTTGAAAAATAATTGCCATATACATGTGAGCTAAAGTTTATAAGCTCTGATTGTACTCCTTCTTAGCATCTATCTTTCTTAAGTGAGAGCCTCCATCACTTGACTTGTTTTCAGACAGCAGGCCCCAAAATTATTTTGTACTTTGATGATACCTGACTGGATATTTTGAGAGTCATTCTAGTCTTGTTAGGTACCACATAACTAGAACCATAAAAAATATTTCCACTTGTAGAATATGCTTTTATTCTAAATGGTTTCTCTATTTAAAAATTTTTATGGCAAGGCGTGGTGGCTCACAACTTTAATCCCAGCACTTTGACAGGTTGAGGCAGGCGGATCACCTGAAGTCAGGAGTTCAAGACCAGCCTGGCCAACATGGTGAAACCCCATCTCTACTCATAATACAGGCCAGGCATGGTGGCTCATGCCTGTAATCCCAACACTTTTGGAGGCCGAGGCAGGTGGATTACCTGAGGTTGAGAGTTCGAGATGAACCTGACCAACATGGAGAAACCCCGTCTCTACTAAAAATACAAAAAAAAAAAAAAAAAAAAAAAATTAGTTGGGCATGGTGGCACATGCCTGTAATCCCAGCTACTCAGGAGGTTGAGTCAGGAGAAGCATGTGAACCTGGGAAGCGGAAGTTGCAATGAGCCAAGATCACGCCATTGCACTCCAGCCTGGGCAACAAGAGCAAAAGTTTTGTCTCAAAAAAAAGAAAAAAAAAATTAGCCAGGCATGGTGGTGGGCACCTGTAATCCCAGCTACTCAGGAGGCTGAGGCAGGAGAATCGCTTGAACCCAGGAGGCAGAGGTTGCAGTGAGCCAAGATCATGCCATTGTACTCCAGCCTGAGCGACAAGAGCAAAACTCCGTCTCAGAAAAATAGAATAAAATTTTACATACCTTAAAGAATGGAGGGCGATTCATTGCTGCCTATGCTTGCCATGTAGTTCAACAATGTCACTTGCTATTTATGGCACTTTCACTTTAGAATCCAATCTTGTTTAAATTTATCATCCAATGCATTGAATTATGCAGTTTAACCTAATACAGTAATAAACAGAAATAGTAGAATGACCCTCCCTCCAAGAAACCTCCTTTCAATATTTGCCTGTCACCTTTTCCTACAGGGATTGCACTGATACCTCTAGGAGGTTTAACCTGCCCTCCTGAATTCTACTGACCCTATGATAATTACAATTTCCTCTTCCATTACTCATTTAAAAAATTACACACGTCATCATTACAGTTTCTCCTTTCTATTTCTAATCTTCTACTTCCACTACTGAAGTTGCTAATAATCTTTCTTGTTTAAAATGCCCTTGTTCATCTTCTCATTCATACACTTGCCCTGATTAAGTGAGGGCTTGATAAGCAGGGTTGTTAACATGTGGGAGTAACAGAATTTGATGCCCAGGAAGATCTGAAACATAGAATTGACAGCAAAGTTGGAACAAAGCAGGAGGGCTGAACTGGTGTGAATAACTGCTGTATTCGTTGCTAACAGAAGTGCCAATCAGAAGGTGCATAGAACAGAGGAGGATGGGAATGAGGCACAAGCTGGGAATCGGAGATATGGAATAGAACAAGCAGGGTTCATAAGAGAAAGAAGGGCGATGCCTAGAAAGATTTCTCTTGGGCTTGGTAGTAGGCATGGGGGCTTCCAATATGGCCCTGCTTACAGATGGAACTGAATCAGTTCAGGACACCAAGACTGTTCGCCTACATTTGTTCAACCAACAGCTGCACATCCACTGAACCAGGTACTTGTAATACAAAGAAAACAAAGTCATTGTATTTGGTACATTAGAGAATTATCATTTGAGATTATACGTGACTTTTGTGGAGACAAAGAAAACTTAAAGCCTTTTAAGACATTTTGCTTCCATACTGAAGTTAAGACTCAGAAAATATTTTGTTAAAAATCTAAATATACTTGCAGGAAATATGGTGAATTCTTTCAACAAGTATGGTTTCTTGTTCTGTCTATAAATCTTTGAAATATTTCTAGAATTGACAATCTCCCTTAACTAGAAAGGAAAGATAAACTTCAACTAAAGTAAGAACAAAATATATTTGGGAAAAAGCAACTTAAGCTGTAATATACACTATTCTGGGTTAGAGGTATGTATTAATTATCAAAAAAAGGAATCTTAAAATTTTGAAGTTGGTTTCCTGACGTTATTTGTTCACATGCAGTATCTTCAGAAAATTAAGGGAAACCAAAAATAGAAATACAAACCTACTTGGTATACAACTATGTTATGTCTCTGCTTGTAATGTTTCACAAGTAAGACTACAGTAATTATGGAAAAGAATCAAAAATGAAACCCATACTCGACAAAGGATAGTTATCTTTTCTGTTATTCTTCTAGACAGTGTCTTGCTCTGTCACTCAGGCTGGAGTGCAGTGGAGTGAGCGTAGCTCCCTGCAGCCTTGAACTCCTGGGCTCAAGCAATCCTCTCACCTCAGCCTCTCAAGTCGCTGGGACTGCAGGCAGAAACCACCAAGCCCGGCTAATTTTTTTAAAACATTTTTTTTTTTTTTTTTTAGGCTGGGAGTGGTGGCTCAAGCCTGTAATCCCAGCACTTTAGGAGGCCGAGGCGGGTGGATCACAAGGTCAAGAGATCGAGACCATCCTGGTCAACATGGTGAAACCCCGTCTCTACTAAAAATACAAAAAATTAGCTGGGCATGGTGGCGCGTGCCTGTAATCCCAGCTACTCAGGAGGCTGAGGCAGGAGAATTGCCTGAACCCAGGAGGTGGAGGTTGCGGTGAGCCGAGACTGCGCCATTGCACTCCAGCCTGGGTAACAAGAGCGAAACTCCGTCTCAAAAAAAAAACCAAAAAACATTTTTTTTTGTAGAAATGAGGTCTCACTATCTTGCCCAGGCTGGCTCAAACTCCTGGCTTCAAGCAACCTACTGGTCAAGTTTGAGACCTCAAGTTCAAGACCTGCTGGTCAAGTTTGAGAACTCAAGGTCTCAACTCCTAGACTCCCACTTCGGACTCTCAAAGTGTTTAAATTACAGGCATGAGCCATCATGCCCAGCCAAAGAAAGTTACCTTTTTGAATGAGTCTTCTTTATTTTAGAAAGAGAAAGACTGAAAAAAATAGGATCTTAGAAGGATATAGCTGAGTACAAATATTTAAATAAATTCTGAATACTAAACTTGGGCTACACTCTTTAAAGCTAAAGAGGTAAATCCGGCTGGGCACGATGGCTCATGCCTGTAATCCCAGCACTTTGGGAGGCTGAGACAGGCAGATTAACTGAGGTCAGGAGTTCAAGACCAGTCTGGCTGACATGGTGAAACCCTGTCTCTACTAAAAATACAAAAATTAGCCAGGCGTGGTGGTACATGCCTATAACTCCAGCTACTCCGGAGGCTGAGGCAGGAGAATCACTTGAACTCAGGAGATGGAGATTGCAGTGAGCCAAGATCATATGACTGCACTCCAGCCTGGGCGACAGAGCAAGACTCTGTCTAAAAAAAAAAAAAAAGAGGTAAATGTTAGGATAACTAAAAATCACTACTCTATAGCATGCATGTGGCTATACTGCCTTGAAGTGATGTTTTAAATTTCAACTTATGTTGTGCAATTTGGATTATACCTGTCTTTAGTGCACCACCCAGATGACTGCTTTTCTCTGTACATGTGCAGAAATTAATGAAGTTCTTACCATAGCAGACATAATAAACATTTGCTCAATGGCCAGCACACATGAAATTAAGCAGAAATAAATACCTACCTTTACATTAAAACTATAAAGGAAACAATTTATTATATTATGATAATAAAAACTAAGTGAATATTAATTTTTAAGATAGCACATCCTGGTTTATTGACAGTCACTGGCAAAATGAATTATTCAACATATGAATTTCTGTTAAACACCGAATGTAGAATATATAACAATTTTGCATACAATTGGCATATTATAATGCTGTATTATTGATATGACCTTTTAAAAGGTAAATAGAAAGGACAATGCTTTTATTTTTGGCCAAATTAGGAGCTTGAAATTTGTTTCAATGTTTGCCTCTGTTTTGTGCTTCTAGGCCACGCAGTCAATTCTGGGAGTGAAGCAATGTCGCCACCTACTGTGCATAGTGCGGTAATGATGACAAAGGAAAATGAACAAAGAGTTTTAAATAAATTATGAAGTAAAAAATTAAACTAATCCATCCATACAAGTTACAGTACTCTTGACTGCATTGCCAGTAAAAATAGTTACTGAATAGAATGAACCAGATCTGCTAGGAGTCCTGTGAAGGCAGACCTTTGGAGCTGTGGGCATTGGTTTTTTGTTTTTGTTTTTTTTTTGAGACGGAGTTTCGATCTTGTTACCCAGGCTGGAGTGCAATGGCACGATCTCGGCTCACTGCAACCTCCGCCTCCTGGGTTCAAGCAATTCTCCTGCCTCAGCCTCCCGAGTAGCTGGAACTACAGGCACACGTCACCATGCCCAGCTAATTTTTGTATTTTTAGTAGAGACGGGGTTTCACAATGTTGACCAAGATGGTCTCAATCTCTTGACCTCGTGATCCATCCGCCTCGGCCTCCCAAAGTGCTGGGATTATAGGCGTGAACCACCGCGCCCGGCCTGGGCATTTTTTTTTTTTTTTTTTTTTAACAGATGGCGGTCTTACTATAATGTAGCCGAGGCTGGATTTGAACTCTTGGGTTCAAGTGATCCTCCCCTGTAGCAGGGACTACAAGAATGTACCACTGTGCCTGGCTAAGGAGTTATGGGCTTTTAAGAGAGCCTTCACTGAAGTTTTTGGTTTGGGTATGTTTTTTTTTGAGACAGGATCTAACTGTGTCAACCATGCTGGAGTGCAGTGGCATGATAACAGTTCACTGCAGACTTGACCTCCTGCAGGAGATCCTCTCATCTCAGCCTCCAGAATAGCTAGGACCACAGACAGAGGCCACCATGCGTAGCTGAAGGTGTTTTTTTTTTTTAAACACATGGACTTGTACACACAATTTCCTGAATTTGCACAATTTTTTTTGCCTTCAATTCTTTTCACCTAACCCATCAATTTTATTATCATTTCTGTTTATGTTTTACTTTCCCATATTACCTTTTTCATAAGCTGATTTCCAAAATGACTTTTTTCTAGATGGTCTATACATAGTTTCTCTCTCTCTTTTTTTTCCCTAAAGATTCAAACTCCAATTTGCAACAATTTAGTCTGAGAGAATAGTTCTCAATTACAATCAGAGGCATTCCCAACATCAAATATGTTGGGCTAACTACCCTCAACTAGGCACTAAAATATAATTTCCAATGCTACGAAGCAAAATACCATCACTCTATACTTGGCCTCCATGTAGAATTCCCCTTATTCCTATGTATTCTCTTCTATTAATTACTTTTTTTTTTTTTTTTTGGAGATAGAGTCTTGCTCTGTTGCCCAGGCTGGAGTGCAATGGCACGATCCTGACTTATTGCAACCTCCGCCTCTCAGGTTTAAATGATTCTCCTGCCTCAGCCTCCTGAGTAGCTGGGATTACAGGCACCCACCACCATACCCAGGTAATTTTTGTATTTTTAGTAGAGACGGGGTTTCACCAGGTTGGCCAGGCTGGTCTCAAACTCCTGACCTCAGGTGATCCACCTGCCTCAGCCTCTCAAAGTTCTGGGATTATAGGGGTGAGCCACTGTGCCTGGCTAATTACTTTTATAAATCATTTTCTCCTCACCTGAATATAAGTCACTGAGGGCAGTGATTATGTCATTTTCATGCCTCTCCCCATCATCAACCCTTGCCCCTACTGCTAGTATTTTGGACATGATAGGTACCCAATATTTACTAAATAAGTGTGAAAAGTGTAAATGCCTCTGAAAAAATGATTTTATTCATCATGCAGAAGTGGGAGATTAAGTAACACAATGTACAAAATAAAAAGATAATAAATGTTATTAGATAACTGATCAGGTACTCTTGGTTTCTTTCAGCCAACTTCTAGAGAATGGTAGTGGGAATTGGAAGGCAAGAGGAATGGATTAGAGAAGTAAAGGACAGGTAATCAATCAAACATAGGATTATTCAATGTTTTTCAGTCAGTTTAGGCTGCTATAACCAAGTACTATAGACTGGGTGTCTTATAAATAACAGCAATTTATTTCTCACAGTTTTGGAGGCTGGAAGTCATAGATTGGCATGTCAGCCTGGTCAGTTTCTAGAGAGGACTCTCTTTTGGTTGCAAACTGCTGACTTCTCATTGTGTCCTAACATGATGTAAAGAGAGCAAGAGAGGTTTTTGGCCTCTTCTTATAAGGGCACTAATTTTATTCCTGAGGACTACACTCTCGTGACCTAATTACCTCCTTAAAATCCCACTTTCAAATATTATCTTATTGGGAATTGGATTTCAACATATGAATGTTGGTGAGATACAAACCAGTGTTTACAGTATTCTAAGTAATGGGCTAATTGCTTTTGGAAGGGAGGACACATAATGAAAAGCCACACAGATCCTGATACTGTGCTCTTGGGAAGTTTCACCAATCACACAAGGTAAGTTAGAAGAATATTGTCAGGCAGTGCAAAGTTGACCCATGTTCAATACAATTTTCAGGGATATGGAAAACACATTGATTGGGATCAACTGAGGAATACTTCTGGAGAAGATGGCTGTTGAACTGATTCTTAAAATTCTGGATGTGAAAATAAAAAGAGATGAAAGATGAAGATAGGTGAAAGTAGAAAGCATGCATTTTTGGAAAGTAAAATATCATAAGGCACAATAACAGAGATGGGATACATTCCTATTTCTCCTTCAACTGATTTTCAAGTGCTGTGTCCCTCTGTTACACTAGCTACTCGGCAGCCACATGTGGATTTGCATTTAAAATGAAATAAAATTAAAAATTCAGTTCCTCAGTTGCACTAGTTACATTTCAAGTGATCAATAGTCACATGTGGCTTATTGGTAATTGTACTGAGCAACGCAAATATAAAACACATCCATCATTGGAAAAAAGTTTCATTTGTACTGTAGTAAGTGCTATTGAGTGTTTACTATATAAAAAGCTCTCAAAATCCCATTTAATCTTCACAGAAACCTTATAAAGGATATAGTAGCCAGGTGTAGTGGCTCACGCCTGTAATCCCAATGATTCGGGAGGTCAAAGTAGGCAGATTGCTTGAGCCCAGGAATTCAAGACCAGCCAGACAATATAGTGAGACTCCATCTCTACAAAAGATACAAAAATTAGCCAGGCATGGTGGCATGTGCCTGTAGTCCCAGCCACTTGGGAGTCTGAGGTGGAAGGATCACTTAAGCCCTGGAGGACAAAGCTGCAGCAAGCTGAGATCACACCACTGTCCCCTGGCCTGGGTAACAGAACGAGACCATCTCAAAATATAAATAAATAAATAAATAAAATTTAAATTTAATATACTTTATATTATTGTATTATATATTATTTATATTACATTATTTAGTATTTAAGACCCTGTCTCAAATGCTAAATAAATAAATAACAAAGTATATAGTTACAGATAAGAAAACTGAAGTCCCTAAAACTTAAGTATTTGTTAAAAGTTACATAATCAGTAGCAGAGTTGTGACTTGAAATTTTATGTGACTCCAAAAACTGAAGCTTTAAGCTAGAGAAAATAAGCCTGTTAGATAGGGGAAAATGAGTCATTTACCAGACACAGTGATACCCCAGATTGACCTTTTTATGGCAGGCGAAATCCAGTAGATTCTCAAGGACGAGGACAAAACCACAAAACTGGTATTTCAGAATATTAAGCAGATTGTGTGCTCAGGGGTCGGCTAGCCCTCATGATTTCTCTTGATGACTGGAGAAAAAAAAGGCTCCCTCCCTAGGAAGGATGTAGCCTTATGGGCATTTCACTTAGTTAACAGCGTGTGAAGTAGACTGCAGCCTCTTCTCACCCCAAACTTTGGGCACTCTGTTTTAAAAGGAAGAATTGGAAGGCATGGAGGAAAGGGAAGCAATGTCAAAAGAAAGAGGAAAAAAACAGCAAAAACAAATTTTGAAGAAAGAAATAAAAAAATAGGTTAAAAAAATGGAAAAATCAGAGCAAGGTCAGAGTTTATTCCAAGGTTTCCAGTATGCTGGTCCAACACACTGTGGCACTTAGAAAAGAGATAGAAAGGGCTGGGCGTGGTAGTGCATGCCTGTAATCCTAGCATTTTGGGATGCCAAGAGTTGGGGTAGATCACTTGAGCCTAAGAGTTTGAGAGCAGCCTGGGCAACATGGCAAGACCCTGTCTCTACAAAAAACACAAAAATTACGCCAGGAATGGTGGCTCACACCTGTAATCTCAGCACTTTGAGAGGCTGAGGTGGGTGGATCATCTGAGGTCAGGAGCTTGAGACCAGCCTGGTCAACATGGTGAAAACCTATCTCTACTAAAAATACAAAAATTAGCTGGGCATGGTGGCAAGTGCCTGTAGTCCTAGCTATTAGGGAGTCTGAAGCAGGAGGAGAACTTGAGCCAGGGAGGCAGTTAGTTTCAGTGAGCCAAGACAGTGTCACTGCACTATAGTCTGGGCAACAGAGTGAGACTCTGTCTCAAAAATACCAAAAAACAAAAACAAAGAAACACACACACACACAAATTAGCTGGGCATGGTGGCACATGCCTGTAGTCCCATCTACTCAGGAGGCTGAAGTGGGAGGATCTCTTGAACTCAGGAGGTTGAGGTTGTGGTGGGCTGAGATTTTGCCACTGCACTTCAGCCTGGGTGACAGAGTGAGATCCTGTCTAAAAAAAAAAGAGAGAGAGAGATAGAAAAAGGGAGCTGATTTGATTTCTAAGCTTCAGAAATGGAAGCTTAGAAGTCACCACTCCTATCCACACAAGAAAAACAACTGAACAAAGTGAAAATTAACAACTCTTAGATCCATTAGAGAACTGAGGTCAAACTACTGCCCTCAAAATTGGTATAAGGTCTTTTAGGCTGACTGACTGTGCCATGGACAGCATGGTAACCTCTGTGACCTGCACATGCACTCCAGATGAGTTTCTGGAACTAGACAGTCTGAAGTAACTGGAAAACCACAAAAGGAGAAAAAATGATCAACCCCTATGGTGTATAATTAACTTTGAGACATTCCTCTGTTGTTCCTTATTCCCATCTCAACTGATAAGGCAATTGGACTTTGTAACCTACCTTGGTCAACCTTGTGACTCCAGACCCTATGACCCCCTCCCAGCTTGCAAAAACCTCCCCAAACTGTAACTTCTGTAACTTTCCACTGCCTACCCCAAATGTGTAAAACCAACTCCTACCCCTCCACCCTCCACTGACACTCTTTTCGGACTCAGCCCACCCGCACCTGAATGAATAAACAACCGTGTTGCTCACACAAAGCCTGTTTAGGGGGTCTCTTCATTCAGAGCATGTGTTTTAACATGTGGTGCTGAAACCCAGGATGGGGTACTCCTTTGGGAAGACCAGTTCCCTGTCTCTACTGCCCCTCTGGGAAAAGACCCACCTGTGACCTCAGTACATCAGACCAGACCAGCAGCTTGCACTTAGTGTACCAAACAGCTCTCTCGCCACCTTCAGATCAAGTAAGCAGTCTCCCTTTTTCTCTTTTCCTTTAGAGAAAGGAAGACAATCTCTCCCCCTTTCTCTTTTTCTTTAGAGAAAAGGAGACAAGTCTCTCCCTCTTTCTCTCTCTTTTCCTTTAGAGAAAAGGAGACAAGTCTCTCCCTCTTTCTCTCTCTTTTACTTTAAAGAAAAGGAGACAGGCTGGGCACGGTCACTCATGCCTGTAATCCCAGTACTTTGGGAGGCCAAGGTGGGTGGAACGAGGTCAAGAGATTGAGATCATCCTGGCCAACATGGTGAAACTCTGTCTCTACTAAAAAAATACAAAAATTAGCTGGGCGTGGTAGCACATGCCTGTAGTCCCAGCTACTGGGGAGGCTGAGGTAGAAAAATCACTTGAACCTAGGAGGCAGAGGTTGCAGTGAGCCAAGACTGCACCACCGCACTCCAGCCTGGCAACAAAGAAAGACTCCATCTCAAAAAAAAAAAAAAAAAAAGAAAAAGAAAAGGAGACAAGTCTCTCTTTTTTTCCTTTAGAAAAGGGAGACAAGTCTCTCCCTCTTTCTCTCTTTTCCTTTAAATCCTTCTCCTATGTAGAGAAAAGGAAACAAGTCTCTCTCTCTCTCTCTTTCTCCCTCTCTCTCTCTCTCTCCTCCTTTAAATCTTTCTCTTTCTAAGTAGAAGACAAAGGAGACACTCTATCCATGTAGAGACAGAGGGAGAGAAGTCTCTCCCTCTTTCTCTCTTTTCCTTTAGAGGAAAGGAAACATGTCTCTCCCTCTTTCTCTCGCTTTTCCTTTCAAGAAAGGAAACAAGTCTCTCCCTCTTTCTCTCTCTTTTTCTTTAAATACTTCTCCTTCTAGGTAGAGAAAGGAGACAAGTCTTTCCCTCTCTCTCTCTTTTCCTTTAAATCTTTCTCCTTCTAAGTAGAAGACAAAGGAGACACTCTATCCATGTAAAGACAGAGGAGACAAGTCTCTCCTTCTCGCTCAATAACACCAATGTTGGTCATGGACTCGGGAAGGCAGTCTTCCCTTGGTGTCTGGTCAATCATCGGGATGCCTGCCTTGATCACTCACCCAGGTTACAGCCCAGAACTCAGTCAGGGATGCCTACTGAGAACCCTGGTAGCTGCTTGCTCCTTCTCCTCATCTCCACTCCACTCCTTTCCTTAAACTTATCTCCTTCGCTATGGGCAATATTCCATCCTCTATTCCTCTGTCTTTGCCTCCAGCTGCATCATAAAAACCCTAAAACCTCTTCAACTGTTGCCAAATCTGAAACCTAAACATCTCATTTTTTTTCTTTAACATGGCCTGGCCTCAATACAAATTAGACTATGGTTCCAAATGGCCAGAAAACGGCACTTTTGATTTTTCTATTCTGCAAGACCTAGAAAATTTTTGTCAACGAATGGGCAAAGGGTCCGAGATGCCCAATGTCCAGGGATTTTTTTATACTCCTACCATCCCCCCATCCTTGATCTCAATGCAATCCCTCCCAAATTTTCTTTCTCTCCCTTCTGATCAACCCTCCTGCCTCCACCAATAACTCAGAATCCTCCTTGTCCTAGATGCTTTCAACCTTTCTCCTCCCTGTCTGTCCAAACCAGGCCCTAATCCAGGCCCTAACCCACCCAAGGGTCTCCCTCTTCCTCTGCCCATAACCCACCTCCTTATGCCCCTCCTGTCACCTCCCCACCTCACACTCCGGATAGCTTACAGTTTAGTCCGTGGCTAAATCCTCTGCCCCTGCCCCTGCCCCTGCCCAACAATTCCCACTTCGAGAGGTGGCTGGAGCCAAAGGCATAGTTAGGGTGCATGTTCCTTTCTCTTTATCCAACCTTTCCTACGTCAGCCAATGGTTGGGTTCCTTCTCATCAGATCCTACTAAATATATACAAGAGTTCCAATGCTTAACCCAGTCCTATAATCTCACCTGGAGTGACTTAAATGTCATCCTTACTTCTATTGTCACCCTTGAGGAATGCTTAATATGCATTTTATCACCCAATCAGCCCCTGACATCAAAAAAGCTACAGAAATTAAAATCTGGCCCATAACCCCCATAACAGGAATTAATCGACTTCACCTTCAAGGTGTTCAATAATAGGGAAGAAGCTGCCCGGTGGCAGTGCATCTCAGAATTACAAATGCTTGCCTCCGCTGTAAGACAAACCCCAGCCACACCACTGGCTCACGAAGACTTCAAAGCGCTGAGACTGCAGCATCCAGCCACCCTTCCCAGACCTTGCTTTAAGTGTCGGAAACCTGGCCACTGGGCCAAGGAATGCCCGCAGCCTGGGATTCCTCCTAAGCCCTGCCCCATCTGTGTGGGGCCTCCAATGAAAGTCGGGCTGCCTGACTCATGTTGCTGCAGCTGGGAGGCTAAAGACATAGTGCCTGAACACCTCGGAAGTCCCCTGGACCATCATGGACGCCAAGTTTCGGGTAAGTCTTATGGTGTAGGGTAAGTCCATCCCCTTCTTAACTAACATGGGGGCCACCCACTTCACACTGCCTTATTTTCAAGGACCTGTCTCCTTGGCCTCCATAATTGTTATGGGAACTGACGGCAAGGCCTCCAGGCCTCTCACAACTCCCCAAGCCTGGTGTCAATTAGGCCAGCACTCCTTTCCACATTCTTTCCTAATCATCCCCACTTGTCCAGTTCCCCTGTTAGGCTGAGATATCCTAGCAAGATTGTCTGCCTCCTTAACTATTCCTGGGCTACAGCCACACCTCACTGTCGCCCTCCTCCCTGAACCCGTACCTCCCTCAATAGCTCCTGTATGTCCCCCTACCTTAACCCTAGGGTGTGGGACACCACCTCCCCATCCCTTGCTACAAGTCACTCACCCCTCATCATCCACTTAAAACCTAACCACCCTTATTCCGTCCAGCACCAGTACTCCACCCTAGCACAAGCCTTAAAAAGCCCAAAGCCTGTTATAACTCACTACAACGGGGACTTTTAGTTCCCGCTAACTCTCCTTACAATTCCCCTATCCTGCCTGTCCAAAAACCAGACAAATTCTGCAGACTAGTCCAAGACCTCCACCTCACCAATCAGATTGTGCTTCCCATTCACCCAGTTGTACCAAACCCCATACCCTCCTATCTTTCATACCCCTTTCCACAACTCACTATTCTGTTCTTGACCGCAAAAACACTTTTTGCTAAAGCCCAACTTTCTTCCCCATCTGTTATAATTCTTTGCCAGCATACATGCACTCTCCCTACCAACTGCATTCAGTTAATTTCCCAAACCCGAGCCCCATCCACTGAACAACAGCTTCTCTTCTTCCTAGGCGTTGTAGGATACATTTGCCTCTGAATACCAGGTTTTGCCGTGCTAACCAAACCACTTTATAAACTTACAAAAGGAAGCTTAGTTGACCCCTTAGACCAAAAATCCTTCCCCCATTCTTCCTTCTGTTCTCTAAAAAAAGTACTTAGAGACTGCTCCTACTTTAGCAATCCCCAACTCCTCTCAACCCTTCTCTCTCTACACAGCAGAAATAAAAGGCTGTGTTCATGCCTACGTGTGTGAACCCCTCAAAATCACAGGCTATGCCCCACTTACCCTCTACAGCTCCTTAAAACCCCCATAGTAACCATTGCTCTCAGTCCTGACTTCAACCCAGCCATTACTCACTCTTTATCTTGCTCCCTTTCTCTGCTCATACTCAATCTTGTTAATGAAAGTGAGTGGTTACTCATAGAGACCACATGCTTCCTTGTACACCATGAAAACACAAGCTCTCCCTCCACATAGTTACCCTAACAAACCCCACTACAACCTTGCTGGTTCCCTTGGCATTTGGGTCCAAAGCCCCAGTCCCCTCAGAACACTTTCTCATCTTTACAGTTTACACTTCCAGTTCTGTCTAAGCCAAGGACTATTTTCCTCTGTGGTTCTTTTTCTTACATCTGCCTTCCTACCAACTGGACAGGCACTTGTACCCTAGTTTTCCTTACTCCCAAAATTCAGTTTGCCAACAGAGACGAAAGCCTCCCTGTTCCCCTTGTGGTCCTAATACAACATAAACGGGTCATTCCATTGATCCCCTTACTTGTAGGGTTAGGAATTACTACTGCACTCAGCATAGGCATAGCAGGTCTTGCCCCTTCAATTGTCACTGCCATAGCCTCTCTAATGATTTCTCTGCTAGCATTGCAGAATTAATTTAATCACTATCCCTTCTTCAGACTCAAGTAAATTCCCTAGCTGCAGTTGTCCTCCAAAACCGCAGAGGTCTTGATTTACTGACTGCTGAAAAAGGAAGTCTTTGCCTATTCCTAAATGAAGAATGTTGTTTTTATGCAAACCAGTCTGGCCTTGTATATGATGCCACGAATAAATTAAAGACAGAGCCCAAAAGCTCGCTAATCAGGCAAATGGTTATTCTGGACACTGCTAGACTGGCTGGACATCTCTAACTGGGTATCATGGCTTCTTCCAATCCTTAGTCCTCTGAGAGCGATCTTTCTCCTTCTCTTATTTGAACCCTGTGTTTTCCGATTAATCTCTCAATTCCTACAAAATCGTATATGAGCAATAACCAGTCAGTCAATATGACAAATCCTCCTTCTAATGACCCCACAATATCATCTCTTGCCCTGAGATCTCCCAGCAGTATAAATTCTTTCCCATCTTTAGGCTTCCACGAAACCCCCAATCCCACCTGAAGAAGCCCTGAGAAACATCACCCCATCACCCCTCTGTGCCGGCCTTCCTAATATTCCACTGCCCTCCACTCTTCATTTCTTTTTCCTTTTTATTACTAATATAAACAGACAGGAATGTAAGGTCTTTTAGGCCAACCGATTGCACCATGGATGGCGTGGTAACCTCTGTGACCTGCATGTACACTCCAGATGAGTTCCTGGAACTAGAAAGTCTTAAGTAACTGGAAAACCACAAAAGGAGAAGAAATGATCAACCCCTATGGTGCATAATTTTGAGACATTCCTCTATTGTTCCTTATTCCCGCCTCAACTGATAAGGCAATTGGACTTTATAACCTACCTTGGTCAACCTTGTGACTCCAGACCCTAGGACCCCCTCCCAGCTTGCAAAAACCTCCCTGAACTGTAACTTCTGTAACTTTCCACTGCCTACCCCAAACCTATAAAACCAACTCCTATCCCTCCGCCCTCTGCTGACTCTCTTTTCAGACTCAGCCTGCCCACACCCAGATGAATAAATAGTCATGTTGCTCACACAAAGCCTGTTTAGGGGGTCACTTCATTCAGAACCCACATTTAACCATTGGAGAAACAGATAGATACAGAGAATCACAACTTATTGGAGGAAACCCATGAGCAGAAACATCCTTGGGGACCAGGGGCTGGGGTAGGAAAATCTGAACAGCCATTGACAAATTGCTGGAAGCTCAGTGTAGACAAGTCTGAGAGTTAAAAACTCCAGGGGGCCTAGTTATTGGAGGTCCCCACACTTTTGTGAGTTTTACCTCCAAGTGCTCAATCTGGTTCACAGTGAGAGAAATCACCATGTGTTTCTGAAAGGGGGAGAGGTAAAGGAACGATTTTGAATTATGCCACAGAATTATGTTCTTAAAGTCCATCCTCAAGAGAAACTATTTGACCCAAGCCTAATCAATTAGGTTTTACCAGAGCCTAATCTACCTGGTGGAAGGGAAATGCTCAACTCCAGCTTCTTCTAAGCCTTCTTGTCTCACTGAAACTGGGGACTGGGGATGGGGAGGTAGGTAGGGGGAGAGGGGCAGAAAGCATTTGTGTTTTTCTTGTTATGGTGGTTGTTTTATTTTAGATAGGGTCTCACTCTGTCACTCAGGCTGGAGTGTAGGTGGTGTGATCATGGCTTACTGCAGTCCTGATCTCCCTGGCTGAAGTAATCATCACACCTCAGCTTCCCAAGTAGTGAGGATTGCAAGCATGCATGCCATACCCAGCTTTTTTTTTTTTTTAATTTCTTATAGAGACAGGGTCTTGCTATGTTACACAGGCTGGTCTTGAACTCTCAAGCTCAAGTGATCCTCCTGCCTGGGATTACAGGCATGAGGCACCACACATGGTCAGAAAGCACTTGTGTAGTTCATAGCAGAGGCACAGGCTCACTAAAAGATTGAGACCTACTTTCAGATAGTAAGTCTCAGGAACCCAAAGACAACAGAGGAGACAAAAGCAAGGAAATCAGCCTTTGACACGTAATGCTACAGCAAGCAGTAAACACACCCTAACCCCTAGCAAGATACTAGTGGCCTCATACTAGAGACCTGTTTACTTGAGTTCCTTTTACCCAGTAAATGTTGTCCAGCTTTCACCAAAAAAAAAAAAAAAAAAAAATGACAACACCTACTGAAAGACAAAAAACACAGTTTGAAAAGACAGAGAAAACATCAGAATCAGAATCAGATATGGCAGGAATATTATGAGAATATGTATAACAGAATTATCATACCAGGAATTTAAATTAACCATGATTGATATGTTAAGCGCTTTAATGGAAAAAATCAATATTATGCAAGAACAGATGGGTAGTATAAATAGAATGACAGAAACTCTAAGAAAGAATCAAAAAGAAATGCTAGAAATAAAAAATACTAACAGAAAGAAAGAATGTCTTTCATGGGCTCCATCAATAACCTTCAGAGACAAAGAATCTAACCTTGAAGAAATGCCAATAGAAACTTATAAAACTGAAAAAAAAAGAAACTTCTAAAACTGAAATACAAAGAGAAAAAAAGAATAAAAAAATCAGATATCCAAAAATGGTAGAATTACAAAAGATGTAACATATACATAACAGAAATACCAGAGGGAGAAGAAAAGAAGAAAATTTGAAGCAATAATGACCGAGAATTCCCCCAAATTAATGCTGGATACAAAACCACAGATCCAGGAAGCTCAGAGTACAGTAAGCAATATATATACCAAAAAATCTGCACCTAATCATAATCAGATTCAATCTGTAGAAAAAAGAAGACAGAAAATCTTGAAAGAAGCAAAAAGGAGAAAAAAACCCAGCACATTTGGCCTACAGAGGGGTAAAAATAAGAATTACATTAGACTTATCTTCAGAATTGTGCAAGCAAGAGGAAAGAAAACAGAAATATTTGAAGTATTGAAAGAAAAAAAAAAACACTCACCTAGAATTCTGTATCCAATTAAATTACCCTTCAATAGTGAGGGAGAAAAACTTTCCCAGGCAAACAAAATTTGAGGCAATTTGTCACCAGTAGATTTGCCTTGCAAGGAATGTTAAAAGTTCCTAAAAGAGAAACAAAATGATGCAGGTAAGAAACTTGGATCTACATTTTAAAAATGAAGAGCAGTAGAGAAGGAATCAATAAAGGTAAACTGCCTGGGCAACATAGTGAGACCCTGTCTCTAAAAAAAACAAAATGAGTTAGACTCAGTGGTGCATACCTGTAGTCCCAATTACTTTGGAGGCTGAGGCAGGAAGACTGCTTGAACCCAGGAGTTTGAGGCTGCAGTGAGGTATAACTGTACCACTGCACTCCAGCCCAGGTGACAAGAGAGAGACCTTGTCTCAAAAAAAAAAAAAAAAAGAAAAAGAAAGGTAAATAAAATATTTTCTTTTTGTTTGTTTGTTTGTTTGCTTCTTTTTGTTTGTTTCTTCAATGAATGCTTTCTAAAGCCAAATCCTCAGCTTTCTGTTCTTTAAAATACTATTTTGGCTGGGCAAGGTGGCTTACACCTGTAATCCCAACACTTTGGGAGGCCAAGGTGGGCAGATCATGAGGTAAGGAGATTGAGACCATCCTGGCCAACATGGTGAAATCCCGTCTCTACTAAAAATACAAAAATTAGCTGGGCACAGTGGCGCATGCCTGTAATCCCAGCTACTTGGGAGGCTGATGCAGGACAATCGCTTGAACCAGGGAGTTGGAGGGTGCAGTGAGCCCAGATCTCCCCACTGCACTCTAGCCTGGCGACAGAGCAAAACTCTTGTCTCGAAAAAAAATTATTTTACTTTTTTTGTGACAGGGTCTCACTCTTTCACCCAGGCTGGAGTGCAGGGGCACAATCATAGCTCACTGTAACCTTGAAATCCTGGGCTCAGATGATCTTCTTACCTCAGCCTCCCAAGTAGCTGGGTACGTACCACCACGCCTAGGTAATTTTTGTATTTTTTGTAGAGATGGGGTTTTGCTATGTTGTGCAGGCTGGTCCCAAACTCCTGGGCTCAAGCAATTCACCCACCTTATCCTCCCAAAGTGCTGGGATTACAGGTGTGAGTCACCTGTAATCTCTTTCGCCTGGCCTGCTCTTTTTTTTTTTTTTTAATTGCGACTGGGGTCTTGCTGTGTTATCCAGGCTGGTTTCCAACTCCTGGGCTCAAAGTGATCCTCCTGTTTCAGCCTCCCAAGTAGTTGGGATTACAGGCATGTGCCACCATACCTGGCAGTCTCCTGCTGTTAATACAAGCTTCTCCAAAACATTTTTCTCTTATGGTTTCAAGTGTTACAATAGAACACTTGTTCAACGTGCAACACAGTGCAACAGTGTTGCACCGTGGCTCATGCCTGTAATCCCAGCACTTTAGGAGGTTGAGGCAGGTGGATCATGAGGTCAAGAGTTCAAGACCAACCTGGCCAATACGGTAAAACCCCGTATCTACTAAAAATACAAAAAAATTAGCCATGCATGATGGCACCCACCTGTAGTCCCAGCTACTTGGGAGACTGAGGCAGAAGAATCACTTGAACCCAGGAGGCGGAGGTTGCAGTGAGCCTAGATTGCGCCACTGCACTCCAGCCTGGGTGACAGAGCAAGATTCCATCTCAAAAAGAAACAATAAAAAAAAAAATAGCCTCCTAAAGTGTTCTGACTAGGTTGGCTTGTTTACATATGTCATGCACTCTGATTTCAGACTATATTCCAAAAACTCCTTTTAAAATTATACTATTCTGCTACTCAATATATTTAAATATTGAGTGCCTTAATCAAAATAAAAATTTCCCATATTGTCTTCTAAAGTTCTTTTTGGCCTGGCACAGTGGCTCATGCCTGTAATCCCAGCACTTTGGAAGGCTGAGGCAGGCCGATCACAAAGTCAGGAGACCAAGACCATCCTGGCCAACATGGTGAAACCCCATCTTTACTAAAATACTATACATATATATATATACACATATGTATTATATATATATATACACACATATGTATTATATATTATATATATTATGTATAGTATATTTTATAATATATATGTATAGTATTTTATATATAGTATTTTATAGTATAATATAGTATTTATATATAATATTTATATATTTATATAGTATTTATATATTATATATATAATATATATTATGTAGTATAATATATAGTATAATATATAGATACTATATAAATATATAAATATTAATATTTATATATTTATATTTAATATTTATATATTTATATAGTATTACATATATATTATATATAGTATTTAATATATAATATTATATAAATATATAATACATATATACATATCTATAGTATTTTATAGTATTATATATATAGTATTTTATAGTATAATATAGTATTTATATGTGTGTGTGTGTGTGTGTGTATATCTATATATATCTATATAGATATATATATATTAGCTGAGCATGGTAGTGCTCACCTTAGTCCCAGCTATTCTGGAAGCCGAGGCAGGGAAATTGCTTGAACCCAGGAGGCAGAGGTTGCAGTGAGCTGAGATTCCACCACTGCACTCCAGCCTGGGTGACAGGGTGAGACTCTGCCTCAAAAAAAAAAAAAAAGTCTTCTCAATCTGTTTCCTCTTATCCCTAGTTAGCCTTGTTTACCATTCGAACACTAAGTCTTAACCCTAGACAAAAAGTCTTCATCCATGTAAGGCCAATAGCCTTGCTAAGAGCCGGATGAACAACACCCACCCCTCTCTATGCCTGATAACAATTTATCAGGCAGAACACATTACTCAGCATCTGGCTCCTCCATGCGGGCTCTCCTCGCCCACTTCTGCATTCTGCCCCCAGGTCTATATTCAGCACTAGGCTATGCACTCTCAGCACCAAGCTATGCATTTGAACCTCAGCACTAAACTGTGCACTCTCAGCACTAAACTGTGCACTCTCAGCACTAAACTATACATCTGAACCCGCGAAAATTGAAGAAATCCCGCCAAGCCTTACCCAATGTCAGCCCACCCCATGCATCCTAGGCCAGCCCCCCTCTAATCCCCATAAAACCCCCTGCCCTGAGAAGTCAAGTGTGACTTCTCTGGCCCCCTTTCCTTAGGACCACAGAACCTCGCCCGGGAGATAAATAAATTGGCATCTGATTGTTCTTATACTGGCTTCAGTTTCCTCATTTTAAACTCGGCAGTAACCATTACAATCCATTCAGAAAATCTTTTTTTTTTCTTTTGAGACAGAATCTTGCTCTGTTGCTCAGGCTGGAGAGCAGTTACCTTATCTTGGCTCACTGCAACCTCTGCCTCCCAAGCTCAAGTGATTCTCATACCTCAGCCTCCCAAGAAGTTGGCATTACAGGCTTGTGCCACCACATCTGGCTAATTTTTGTGTTTTTAGTAGAGATGAGATTTCACCATGTTAGCCAAGCTGGTCTTGAACTCATGGTCTCAAGCAAGATGCCCGCCTTGGCCTCCCAAAGTGCTGGGATTACAGGTGTGAGTCACCATGCCCAGCCTCCCAACAGTTATCTTGAGTATCCTAGGTTCAACGTTCTATAAAAAACAGCCCCTTCACCTACACGATTCCTTCTTATTTGTGCCCCTAACTTTATAAAATGCAACAATCTTTCTGAATGTGTAAGAGTTCTTTCTATAGCATCAGGTCTTTATAGTAGAGATTGTAAAGTGGCTTTGATTAATCCGTCATTTAAAATGGAGTAATTCTCAACACTTAAAAATTGTTGAAAAATTGCAGACTCTAGTAGGACCCACATTTCAACTAATGGCTAAAATTTACCAGTAGTTGACACCTTTAGAAATGCACTGTTCAGTTAGAAAGTTACGACTTCATTCTAAAAGTATTGCGCACCTATTACTTGGGACACTGTTTTAGACCCTGGGGATATAGCAGTGACCAAAACTCACTGGGGAGCTTATACTCTAATGAGGAGAGACAGAAAACATAATCATTACTACATGTTTTCTAAGAGGAATAGAAAATATGTGGGTGGGAAGGGTGCTTGCGCTTTTGCATTCAATTAAGTACCTGGCTGGAATGGGAATGTGAATTTTTGACTCGTACTACTAACCGAATGGTCATACACTGCCATGTATGGTATGCACTGTCCCTATAAACTCTGAGCAATTCGAAGGCAGGAAGTGTGCCTCCTTCGCCTTTGGATTCCCAGGGCCCAGAAGTGTTTTTATGGAGGGAATATGATGTAAAGCGAGAAGTTAGGCGTACTTTGACCACCGCTGTCCCTGGTGGTTATTCCGACCGGGTTTGGACTGGGCGCCGGGGAGGGTGCAACACAACCGAGAGCGGTCAAGTCTTTCGCAGAATCTCAAAGCCACCTCCGCGTCGGCGGCTCCTTTTCCAGGGAAACAGGACTGTAACGCGAACGCATCGCGGGTCCTTGTTCTCTAAACAAGGTTAATTAAGAACTAAATTCGTAACAAAAACGTGGCCCTCAGAGCCCGTCGTCCAACGCGAAAAAGCACGGGTGACCGCGCCCCCTGCAGCGCCGCCCCGGGCACTACAGCTTCCGGGGTCCTCCAGTTCCAGGCGGGTCTACTTCCGGCTCCTTAGGTCCCCGGCTCCTTGGCTCGCCGGGGTCCTAGCGCTGGAAAGGTGGCCGTAGCGGCCGCCTGACCCCTACAAAATCCTGGGACGGGAACAGCGATAAAGGCGCTGGGAGGACGCCTGTGGTCGGAGGGATCTCGCCCCCGGAGAAGAGTTGGGGCAGGACCGCGGGGTTGAAGGGCAGATTCGGAGCCGGCCTGTCAGGCAGGAGCCGGGCAGGTGCGGTGGCGGAAGTGCGGGGACGGAGGCCGAAGCGGAGTGGTGTAGGAAGCCGCGGCCGCGGGTCATCTAGTGGGGTGCTGTTGCTGAGCCTCAGCTTGACAGCAGCGACTAGGGCTCTGGCGCCGGCGAGATGCCTTTGTTCACCGCCAACCCCTTCGAGCAAGACGTGGGTGAGTGCTGTGCCCGGTCCTGGACTGCTGTGTGCCCGGCCCTGGACTGCTTAAGTCTAGGTAGCAAGTGGGCGGTAGCGACTCCGGGTACTGGGAAGCCAAGCGAAGGGAGAGGAGGGGCGGTGCCGCCCGCTACTTCGGTGTTGGGATTTTTCTAGGGGCAACCTCGGCGTGTCGCTCGCGGTATGGGAAGTGCTTCCTGCCGCCTGAGTTTGGGGTCCCTCAAAGGACCGTTTTCCTCTTCAAGCATAGGATTGGGAAGAGCCTAGGGCTCGCTTGGAGGCAGGATTAGTTAAGTAACTGTGGAGTTGGTGATTGAAAACTTCCTGCTCGCTCTACAGCTGGTTACCTCCCTCTCTGCCCCATCGTTTTTTGAAGATGATGCAGCGGTGGAGACCCTGCTGTCTAGAGCAGTCCAACTAGATATTTGACACCTAGACGACCCCATTGTATGAGAACTTACTTTCCATTATTTATATTACTCATGCATTCAATCCTTGATGAGGTAGTTTCAAGATTTATTACAATTGTAAAGATATTGCTCTTCTTCCCCGGATTGCAAAGATTGCGGAGGTGCTAGGAGGTGTCCTCTTTTAGAGTATGAAAAGGAATCTCAAGTCTCAAAACACTGCAGAACAACAAGTATTTTACTTGTTGCAGTCGTAAAGCGCTGGTCTCTAAGTGACTATAGAATGAGAAAAACATGGATAAGATATACGAACTTATTTTGGAAATTTGAGTAACACTACAGCAAACTGAGAAATATATATATGTATTTTTGAGAGTCTGAGTCTCACTATGTTGCCCAAGTGGGACTAGAATTCCTCCTGCCTCAGCCTGCACTGCTGTTTCCCGAGTAGCTGGGACTACAGGTTTGTTTTTTTGGTTTTTAGTAGCAGTAGTTAACAGAACCCTAGGTAGATTTTTTTAGAACTTGGAATGGGGGCGGCGGGGCAGGAGGGAAGCATGGCTGAACATTGCTGAAGTCACAAGAATACTGCACATCTTAGTAGTGAGTTACCTGTTTCACAGTTAACATTTGGTTATTAGGAGACTCTAGAAAGTGCCCTATTCTGGTATGTTGTGTGATCCTTAAGTCATTTAAAAAATATGTTTGAGTCAAGTAATGTAGGTATACAAATAGTTCAAATATGTATGTTCCTTATTTCATTCAACTTTTTTCTTGGCAGATGAATAGAGGTGACTGGCATAACTCTAGGAAATATCACTCTGAGGCTCATTGTTTCCTTTTGAAACACCTCATTGCAGCATTTTTTCTTTTGTTTGAATCATATTACCTTTGTGAGACCTGTACTTTTAAATAATTGCTATTATGAACACTTTGATTCTGTTCTAATGAAATAGAAGGTGCAAGATAGAATTCGACAAAGGATTTTAAAACTTAAAAACCATGAACTCTTCTTCAAGGTACATCTTTCTTGGAAGTTGATTGTTTTCTGATGGAAAATTTCTCTGGTAGAAGTAGGCAGGGTTGCTCTGCCTGTTCTGTTCTTCTAAACCCTTCCCTGCTGGCTCCCGAAGCCCCAGCTTGGTTTAGTGGATCACAGTTTCGTCCCACCTTTGTGAAGGAGGCACTGCTGTTGAGAAAACAACAAAACAAAAACACTGTGTCTAGATTGTTTTATGGCCAATGGCATAAGCCAGAACTTCCAATAGTTACATACTAGCGTAAACATGACTGAATTCAGTACCCAAAAGACAGTTTAAGGGTGAAATAATGAAATTGAGGCCCTCCTGAAACTTCTAGACAAGAGAATGGAATTAGAAAAAGTAGAATGAAATACTAAGGGGCTCAAATCGGACTTGCACATAATATCATAGAAGAAAAAATCAGATTTGCACATATAGCATAGAAGAAAAAAATCAGACTTGCACATATATCAATAGAAGAAAACTTATATATTTTGTTTTTCATACCTTAAATCTTTTCATTGCAAATCACTAAGACAAAGCAAGTCATTATTTGACTTGAGATGTCTGCAGGTATGTTACCTTACATTGTCATTGTCTTTTTCTCTTGTTCTCCTTGATTCTGTCAGATTTTTATTACTTTTTTTTTTTGGTCATTCCTTTGTTTGCTCTTCATTCAACAGACATACATTGAATAATTACTGTGTGTCAAGCATTGTGTTAATCTAGGGACACAAAATGAATAAATGGACTGTGAGTTCCGGCCTTCAAGGAAGTCTCAATTTAGTGGAGGAAACATACAGACATAGGAATTGTAATATAGTGTGATAAATATAGTGCTAGGAATATACAAGAGGCTTTACTTTCTCTTGTTATTTAAAACAGTCATAGTCCCTGAAGAAAAGACGAGGACCTTCAGATAGGATCTTTCTCTGTAAAGGTGTTAACACTGTCCTCTCCCTCCCACCTTTTCTTTTTTCTTTTTTCTTTTATTTTTTGAGACAAATCTGCCTCCCAGGCTGGAGCACAGTGGTGCGACAGCACATTGTAACCCCTGCCTCCCGAGTTCAAGTGATTCTCCTGCCTCAGCTTCCTGAGCAGCTGGGACTATAGGTGCGCACCACCACACCCAGCTAATTTTTTGTATTTTTAATAGAGGTGGGGGTTTCACCATGTTGGCCCCAGGCTGGTCTCCCAACTCCTGGCCTCAAGTGATCTGCCCACCTTGGTCTCCTAAAGTGCTGGGATTACTGGCATGAGCCACCACGCCCTGCCACCTTCCCCTCTTCTCTGATATCACTTCTCCCAGCAGGAAGTAACCACCTCTTGCTGGTGTATAATATGGTCATTTTATGATTAAAGGCCTTTAAAGATTAATCTCTTTGGGTAGGTGAAGAGTCTCACTGGATGATGAGCAGTCTTTCTGACATTCATATGAGGAAGGAATCCTTTTCTCAGTCCCTGAGAAAATCTGTAGTGGGTCAAGGTGTCTTAGGAAGGCACTCATGAGCTAATGATGATATGTGACTTGTCAAATGGAATTAGGGAAGCAAGTCAAAGGCTAGGAATTAGGGAAGTCAGGCAAATTCCTATCTTTTCTTATAGTCAGAACCTACAATCCCTGAAGGATATGCTAGATTTGGTAGCATTAGAGCTCTGTAAACATGTTATTGGAATTCCTCATATCTAGATTTATTTTTATGTTTTTTGTTTAATAAGATTTCTTTATTGTATTTTGAGGGGAAAAAAGAAAATATCCTTCTATCCCACCTCTTCTCCCCAGCTGGCACTCAAGTGTTAGGGCGGGTATAGGGATCTTGAGGTGGAGCCTGGTGGGAGTAGCCATTCTCATAGAATTCCAAAGGGAAAGTGAAACATGGGGGACAGGGCCACAGTGATTGGTATTAACAGGGAAGATGTCATTTCCTTTTTAATTGGTTTCCAGGTTGTGACTTGTCTGTTCTAAGCCTTAACTCCAGCTCTTGTTTGCATATCTTTTTTCCCCTTACTCAAGATAGGCAATCTTTCTTGCCAATTTTCTGCCTCTGTGCTGTTTACCATTCATTGCTAAATGTTTGCTCTTTTCAACCTTGGTATCCCCTTCCTTTAAAGTTATACTTGTGTCCCACAAAGCTGAGCTCAAATTCTTTCTCCACAAAGCTCTGCTGACACAGCAGTTTGAATTGTGAACTTTTAAGAGGATACATTTCCAAGTGACATTTTAATGTGTGTATTGCTGTGTTTTTGACTTTTGCTATGTTAGAAGACTTTTGCTGTGTACCAGAAAGTAGCTTGGGACTTTCTCCAGTGAAATGCAGTCATGCAGTCCTTTTCTCCAGTGGAATTTTATAAGAAATCCCAATATAAAAATAGATACTGATAGCATAAGAATAATGCAAATTCATTTTAGACATTCAAATTTACAACATTTACTTAACTGGGACTTTGTACAATGGGGTTGTTAACATCTTTGTAAACAGTTAAACTAAAAAAAAAGTTTTTTGGTTTTGAATAAGAATGGTAGCCTTAACAGCCAATTTTTTTCCTAATATATTTTGTAGTTTTTTAAACTATGAAATACTTTCAGCATAAAATACAAAGTATAAACTCCCATTCCTGCCAGGCAAGTATCTCGAGTGCTAATATTTTGATATACTTGATTCTTTTATTAAGAAAGGAACATTCAAGATGCAGTTGAAATACTTTAGTACTTTTAGCAGCTACCCGATCCCATTCTTCCTCTCTTCTCAGAGTTAAACACGCTACAAATAGACATTCTCTTTTATAGTAAATATACTGCACTTAAAATTATACTATATATTGTTTGCATGTTTTTAAACTTCTTAAAAGTAGTATCTTTTTGTCATTCTACAACTTTGTCATTCAGCATTTCTTTTTTTTTAAGATGGAGTCTCGCTCTGTCACCCAGACTGGAGTGCAGTGGTGTGATCTCAGCTAACTGCAAACTCCGCCTCCCGGGTTCAAGTGATTCTTGTGCTTTAGCCTCTGGATTACAGGTGCACACCACCATGGCTGGCTAGTTTTGCTTTTTTTTTTTTTTTTGTGACGGAGTTTCGCTCTTATTGCCCAGGCTGTAATGCAGTGGCACGATCTCGGCCCACCACAACCTCTGCCACTTGGGTTCAAGCGTTTCTCCTGCCT